TTATTTTTTTTTGTAACATTTATATAATTAGAGAATACAAGTTTTATTTCTTATATTAAAAGTATTTAATTTATAAAAAGTATGGGAAAAATTAATGTTCGTTATATAAAAAATAAAGTTAATATATATACGTAATCAAATAAAAATCATATTATCAAAGATTGATTTGTACACATTTTTAGTAGAGTATAAAGATTATTAATTTTCTATATATAATGTAAAATGTAAGAATATTAATATCAAAGTTGCATACATAAATATTTAAAATACATATTATAACCAACATACTTTATGGAATTAATCGAAGCATATATAATAATATTATTTAATTCATAATAAAAGAAATATTTACATTTAAGAAATAATTAAAATATATGGCTTCCTACTATATATTATATCATGACATATTTTCAAATCATAAATAATAAATCTAAACATAATAAACTGAATATTTTTATTATACACAAGAAAAAATATATAAATATGTCTGCTTTAAATAATATTGTATATAACGGTATACATTAACCATATGAAACTGTGACAAAAACTGAAGGACTAAAACTATACAGAAGAACTAACCTCAGAACACTGAGCTCTGGTACCTTAATCATATGTCATGAACCATTAGCGATATATCTCCTTATTTTAAGTCTATAACTTTTTATTAAATTATATAATATGTATTATTATGTAAATTACTATGAAGAAGAAAGAGTTATGTATTATTTTTATAATTATATTAACAGAATATATTCGTATTATATAAGTTTTTTTATTATATAGAGAATTCATAAAATTACATAATTTTTATACGTGACGGAGCCTTTATATATTATATTTTAAATAATCCGAATATTCTTTCTTATAAAAATAACAATTACTGCTATCATTAGTACTATATGAAATCTAATTTGTTGTCCATGATATATTTACATCAATTATATATTTATAAATAAAAAGAGTCTAATTATACATCAAAATGTATGTATTTACTTTTTTAAATATGTATTTTTATCTTAATACATTCTTTTATTTTATGTCGTCGACCTGTAAATAAGTATAATGTTACCTAAGATGAGGGACAATATTGTAATTTAGAAATTTTACAAGAAAAATTACAAATTTTTAATATATTTAAATTAGACTTAGAATAAATATCATAAACGATTGTGAATGAGAGTATAATTCTGATATAAATATTTTTATTTTTCAGTATTTATATATAAATCTATTTCCAGTATGCCAAGAAGCTATAGACCAGTGTGCACAGGACAGTGAAAATAAAGAAGATGAATACTGCAAAAAAGTACTTATAACTATACCTGATATTAAATCTACATTTAACGAAAAATGTCCCATAGCTTTTTTATATCTAAATAAAATAGAGGAAAAATCATATACAGAAGAAAATATAAAAGGGGCAGCCTGTATATACATGTATTATTGGATATACCATGATCTCCTGAAGAATAATAAAAATGGCATCAATGCTAAAATACTTTATGAAGCTTTTATACAGGCATATAATGAAGTGGACATTGAAAAATATAACGGCTTTAAAGGAGCTAATATTACAGTAAATGAACTGAATAATCTGAAGTATATATATGAAATGGAGACAGAGCTTAAAAATATGGAGAAAGATAAAGAATCATCGAGTGGAAATAAATGTGAAAGTGCCAAGAAATGTTCTGATTTATATATGCAA